TTTCGAAAAAATAGATTTTTTATATATTTTACTATTGCTCAGCAAATTTCGGCAAATACTTTTGGCCAATGAGTGTATATATTAGTCACCTAATATAGGTGAAAAGGTTGAAAAGTGTAATGTGTGATTGTATAATACTGATTTCAGTAAGATGGTATCCATAAGTCAGTTGAGCATAAAACTATCCGAAATGTGTCATTTTAGGGTTGAAATAGAACCGGGAGTTGGACGGCCTATGAAGATACATATTGTCACTTTAACCCATATTGCGTGAGCTCACCTGATTTGCACAATTTGCTATTCCGTAATCACCTGACAAATTTTTTTTTTTTATAATTTAGAACTTTATTGCCTAATCACCTGACAAATTGATTTGCATAATTTTTTGTTGTACATACTCACCTGACAAGTGTTTTGCATTCTTTCTTGGTACCTTTTGGAAAATAAAAATAATTGGATTTTTGGAAGTAATATTTTATTTGTATTGCAATCGGTGTATAATAATAATTCATAATTATAACGTGTGATCAGAATTTTGCTAACAATGTTTTGCATTGCAAGTAATCTCAATGTAGCTAATCGAGATTCTGACTATATGGTAATGGTTAATAATAAAGTACCATCTCGATGTGGGGTGGACTATGGGGAATGGACGCGGGAAAGATGACTATTTTCCCATTCATAGTGGAATTTCCGTAATGAGCGTCCAAACATGAGGGCTTGAATTTGAAATCTGAGATTTCGCCATATTCACATTATGCGATTACCCTTACATTTGAATTAATTTATTTATAAATTAAAGCATTAATGGAATAATTTCCATGCAATCTTTCTATCTATGCATACGACGCTGTCAAAGAAAATAAATCATGGCGCTCATACGAAAGCGTTACATGTGCAGACTCTTACAAAATCAAAATTAAACAATATATGAAAATATAATACAATTAAACGAGGGACCTGAGCATTCAAATCACAAGCTATAAATAATGAGTTAGCCAAGTATTTTAGTTCATAAACCACTTCCTCACGACAGGTGTGGCGCCCAACGTTGGATGAAGCAGAATGTAAGTCAAGAAATATTCCAAGTCTTTCCGGCGACGCTCAACAAATGCAGTACCAAATTTGCCTAGAACAAAATAAACAATTCTAAATTAGATAGATATGACCAGAAATAACTAAACAAATCCCTCATATGGTAATAGAATATGCTTAATTACCGACGACTTTCTTGGGTGGTAATTTAGGAATTAAATTCTTGAAATGCGGTTGGGCCTTGGATAGCTGGGATCTCAACTTGACAAAATCAGAATATCGCTTCCTAACCGTTATGCTAGTTCCCTAAGTATCGTTACGTCAGAAGATGAGGCCTTGGCGATTATTCATTACTCTTCATTATTCAATTCAATCATACCTCTGGTCCCTTGACGGTGCATGTGTATACGATATACGACCCATAACCGGCTCCTACTCTTAACGGGTCACTCACGGTAACCTCCTCAGCAAACAGGTGGGTAGGTTTATCTCTGGCAAGACTAATTTGTGTCGTTGGAGTCGGAATGTGATATGATGTATTAGCCAGGATCGGTGAGGATATTGGTGAGGAACTGCCAGAAGACAGGGAAGGTGCAAGAGACGACACATCGTCATTATCACCCTTGAAAAGCAAAGCATATAAAAACGTCAGATCTTGGTTGCTTACTGAAATAACACGCAAACCAGCATTCTAATAAACTGAGTCATAGCAATAGTAATAATAATGAGAATAGCTACGACGACAGCACTAGCATTAATTCATTACCGACTGCGATTGGCGATCATCTTCTATTACTGTGTCAAGAGCCATTACTGAGTTATGAAAAATGTTCGTCCTATTCATCAGCTTCTCTGCCATAGCGGATAATTCCTCTGTGTCGACAATCTTCCCACGGTCTACACTACTACTATTATCATCAATGTCCTCTTGTCTCTCAACAGCATCTACAAACTGATCGTTCACCTCCTCTGAATCCTGGCTTATTATCTGAGTAAGCTGTTTTTCAGCATTTGAACTCTGATTATATCTATGCAAGCCGCCTGTATTTTTGTGGCTTGAAACGCTGGGTTTATTTGCCGTAGTCAGATCTTGCGATACAGATGTCGTTGTCGTAGCTTTTGGCGGTGCTGCTTGCAAGCCCAGATTAGCAATAAACAGGCGAGCTGCAGAAATGCCCTCGGAATCCATAGAATGACGACGGGTTAAGTCGGCACGCGGATTCGGCTTTGCAGAAGGATCAAATGGTGTCGAATTGCTTATGCGACGAGGTTTATTATGATTGCTGGCAGTATTGCGTGTTGTAATTGTAACTTTAGGCTGGTCATCGGATGCAATTTTCCTCGGAGAAGTGAAATTGTGATACACGCGGTTACTTTGATACACAAGCTCCTTTCGAGATGATGAAGATACAAGTGATTCCGATTTGGCACCATCAATGGACGCAACTAAATAATTTTTTGGGAGGGGGAAAGAGAAGCACAAAGTCAGACAAAACACATGCCAAATTAATCGCTTGTCAAAATAGCTTACGATCTAATCCTTTCTTGAGCAACGTATGTAAATGTTCCATAATGACTTGAACATAATCAAGCCAATCACGAGCAGGTGAGCCGTTTTGTTGCTTCATTTGGTCTCTGACTTCTGTCAGCTCACTAACGGCTGTACGTATCTCGCGTCGGACTTCTAGCACTGCAAATATATGAATGAATATTTTATATTATTAATTTCTGTATTATTCGCTTATGATCGGATCGCCTTGTCGTAATGCTATAGTCTGTCTTGAAATGACCAACATATACGATTGCGTTCATTAATCAAAAGAGTTATATGCAATGATAACAGTCAATATGGACAACACTCTTTGCATTTAATTACCATGTAATGAGCGTGAGGCAAGTTCTATGTCATAATTTAAACTATTATAGTCTTCGTCTTTGTCTCTTCGTACAAGGCTACGTTGCCTTATAAGACTGTCCGTCTGCTTTTGCAACAATGCTAAAGGAAGATCACGAATATTTAAATCTCCAGGCTTTTATTTTGTCTGCGAAAGACACATTTAGTCGAAACATACCGGTTACATTAGAAGATAAGTCTAATAGGTCTTGAACCTGAGCTTGTAACTCCATCAAAGAAAACGAATGAAAGAGAAATGAACGTTCACCAAAGCATAAAGTGAATTCGGCAGATAAATTAGAAAAATTGAGGCTGTTTTACACAATGATTACAATCTGTTTGTAAATGTTTTTATGTAATAGCATAGCCATGTAGTAATAGGGGTAAACATCCCGATCAAGTGCCTTGTGTAACTTTGATGACATTCAAACTCAGACAGTCTCAAAGTAGCGCTTTATTTCCCAGTTCGTCACACTGGTCTCCCATAACCTCCACTCATGCAACCGACTCTTACCAAAATGATCAACAAAGCGATCACCCAGAACCTTCCGCGCAATCGAATCCTTTTTCATCATAATGAGGGTTGCCTCTTGCAATGTCTTGGACAATCTATTCCCTTCATGCTGACTTAAAGACTTTTCGGCTTTTTGGTTCTTTGCATAGGAGACGGGCGGAACAGGAATCTGCAGTTGATTCTCAATACCGTACAGTCCACTAGCCAAAGTAGCAGCAATGGCAAGATACGGGTTAATGTCAGCACCCGGCACGCGCAATTCTATTCGTGTTGCAGATGGAGAACTTGTTGGCGGAGCTATGACCCGAATTGCTGCGATGCGGTTCTCGAAACCCCTGTTGTGTTTTCGGAAATGAGCACTTTTTTTGGAAATTTAATCGCGAACAAAGAATGACGTGCTCTTGTCTTACCAGGATACGTTTACGGGTGCCCAATAACTTTCCACGAGGCGTTTGTAGCTGGATTTTCAGAACGATTTGTTAAAAGATATCGGTGTTATCAAACTGTTCAAGGACGAGCACTCACCTGTTTACAGTTGGTGCCAATAATGGCATGATACTTGGTAATCCAGTCAAAACACCCGCGATAAAGTATTTCATTGTCTCGCTCACGTTTTTCGTATCTTCCCATTCATTTTCTAGAATCTCGTTGAACTTTTGCGCAGGGTCTGGCTTAGTCTGATCATTGACAATTTTTGTGAACGCATTCTTGCCTGTATCCATGTGCTTCAAAGAGAAATGCAGATGACCCGAGCATCCTGGCAAGTTGTGGTTTGGTTTAGCCATAAAGGTAGGCATGACTTTGTAACGGAGAATGCCGATTTGCTTGACGGCCAATTTAAACAGAGTGGCCATATCGGCCATTTTTAGGGCTGCAGAATATGCCAGCGCTGCTTCATAAACGCCTGGCCCTAATATACATTCATAGTTAATATGAATGCATTCCATAATATTATGCGTTTCATAACATATTCGAACCTGTTTCTGTGTGGAGACCTTCAATTGAGACGCCAAACTTGTTGCATTCGTCTAAAATGTCATAGAAGAAGCCTTGGTTCGATGTTGGTCGGGATAAACTATATCCGAACATTCCTTGTGGAATAAACAAGAGAATTTCAGATGAGCAAGTCGTATCTTGATATCACTCTCTCTAATCGTAAACATACCTGGTGTCAATGGTTGTGGCGATACGTGGTCCTTTGCAGCGAGTGTCTCGGGCGTCTCTGAGATTAACGAAGACGTGATACCATGACGCAAGTTTGCACTCGGCAGACGGCTTAAAACCTCATATTACTATCTACCTTTAAAGTTGAAGAATTCAAATTCAGCTCCACACATAGGTTCCAGTCCCAAGTCATGATACTTCTGTACAACAGTCTTCAGTAAGCCTCTCGGACAAGCATGAAGAGGCTCTTTCGTTGCAGGATTGTAAAATGACACCAGGAAGAATGGAATATTTTTTTCCCACGGAATGCGACGATATGTTGAAATGTCGACTTTTGCCAAAAGGTCAGAAAAACCTGCGAGATGATGATGCTATTAGAACAAGCTAGCATCGAGATAACGAGTTAAAAAAGAAATCTCACCATTCTCGGGATTTGACACGTCCAAGTCTTCCGTATAAGTTCGATCATGCATGTCCCAACCGAATATAATACTACAAAAGCCTGGAAAGCGTTATAGTCGATGATCGTTGAAAAAAGCATTAAGAGCAACTGTAAGAATGTAATGTAAACCTACCAAAGCCTTCTTTCAAAGTTGATAAGAATTTACTCTTGGCTAGCACCTTCCCGCGAAGAATGCCGTCCACGTCTGCCCCGGCAATCTTGACGCGCAGGTCGTTTGCTAGCAAGCGCTCAACGTCTTCATAAGTTTGTGGTACTTGTTCCGCGGATGTCATTGTTTGATACGCATGGGAATGAAAACAGGGTGGAGATCCTGTTAAACTAAAATTCCCGTTCTTTATGGTTACACTAAGTTTTTGCTGTCAAAAATTCGGACCTCGTGAAACGCTGCCTCCTTCCCCAAAAAGTTTATAAACGCGCTCGCCAGCGCGACAATAGATCCATGACTTGCATTCGTTCGAAATGCTCCATGAACTTTTATTAGCTTTGTCTGGAGTCGGAGGCGAGCTTTTCGTTCCTCATCCTCCACCACCTGAGAAACCAGTTACCTTTAAAGTGCCTGCGGACTTTCCTTTCTTACATACGGCTGAACGCTGCTCTCTTGAGCGTCTTGCTAAATTAGGATTTCACTACAAAAGTATTATAAACTTTCTAGACAGGCAGCGTGGAAGGGAATGGACAGAGTTGCATGCGCGGGAAGAAGTAATTGATAGGGGTGAAACTGAACCTCCTGGACTATTTGTGCAAACTCTTTGTAATGCTATTAACGAGGTCTTATCGGACTATCGGCAATTAATTGTCGATTCAGAGAAAAGAATACTTAATAAAGACGTTGATATGAATGGTGTCGTACCTATTGCACATTTGTCGCAAGCCTTTGGAGAATATCAAGTTATTTTACCGCAACTTCACAAACTTGTCCAAGAAATAGAAGACAATCCGGTAACATATCATGGTGCTCGATTACTTAACCTCATTACTGAGAAATGTAATACTGGGGTACCAGAATTGAGAACGATAATGTTAAAACTGCTTCATGCTTGTCATGGAGAAATGTATCAGCACATTACTTCTTGGATGGTTTATGGACATCTACAAGATCCATTTGTAGAATTTTTTGTCCAGGACAAAACAGCAACACAACAACAGCAACAACAGCAACAACAGCAACAACAGCAACAGCAGCAACATCAGCTTCAGGAATATGAACAATACTCTGAAACTAGATGGCAACGGCGCTTCGTTCTCGATGATTCTTTGATTCCGAAACACATACCACGTTCAATAGCAGAATCGATTTTGTTTGTTGGGAAGGCTGTTGCGATTGTGAGAGATGCATCAAAAATGCCACATACCAAAACCGATCTCCCAAAATCCATTACGACATTACATCTACAGAAGCTATTAGAGCTATCCTCTAGGCCACAATTTCATCATATGGAATTACAGAATGTAATCACTATAATACGAAACAATGTAGCGCAATGGCTATGGCAAGTCGTTCTAACTGGAGATAAGGTTATCGAATGTCTAGAAGCATTCAGAAAATATTTTCTCCTTGGTCAAGGCGACCTCGTTTCCGCTTTAGTTGACCAGTTTGAGAAACTTGCAGTATCGAGACTTGCATCTGCTAGGATGTCTGTGGTCAAAGAGCAAGAACTGAATTCGTTACTTGTACGCGCGCAAGTGGGATCTTCCGTCGAGAACGATTCAATGTTTGATAAATTTACATTCAAACTTCCTAATAATGCTAACGACCAACAAACATCTTCGTCCGGTATGTTTGATGACTTTATTCTTGGAGTACCGCTTCGTCTTGAGTATGAAATTACCTGGCCTCTCGATTTGTTTGTCACAGCGGAAGACTTGTCAAAATATGGAGATTTGTTTTCTTTTTTGATATCTTTGCGTCGGACTCAACATCGTCTTGAAAGGGTTTGGGTGCATCTATCAGCTATGCATAAATATATGGCTAATGCTACTACGCGACAGGCCAATGATTCACATCTTCTGTGGCGAATACGAGCGGCCATGATATTCTTTGTTAACTGTCTTTGGGAGCACGTTCAGGTAAATGCCGTGTGGAATGCCTGCACAGCATACTTCTCTATGTGCGGCTACAATTATAATTATATTTTATCAAAAGTTTGACATGCGTGGCTCACTATATACCGTTAAAATTTTTTTTATATTAGATGGACATAATAGAGATAAATTTCAAGAATTTGGTTAATCGCATTTCCGCTTCGTCTACGCGTCATAAACTTGCCCAACCCTCACTCACTTCCCTAGACTCGCCCACCTCGCCTTCAGTCCCCACAAGCCCAATAAAACCTGATGCGGAATTAGGAAAGGATGTGGAAACCTTGCGTGATTTTGAAGATATACGTCTCGGTCACAGTTCCTACATCAGAGATATGCTTCGCGGATGTCTGGTAGAATCACGTGTTTGTGCAGATACTATAAAGAAAGCACTAAAGTGTTGTGACCAACTGTGCGCAATCATTGAAAGATGGGATGGGCGTTCGATCGACGACAAACGATTGGAACATATTAAGAAAATTGACCAGGTAGGTGAACATAAAATCAAAGCTCATTAGGATGCATATAACTAACTCAAGCACGCAAAACGAATTAGGTATTTCGCGACCATACAAACTTTTTGTTCCGAACGTTGTCGGGTATCAATAAAACGGGAGAGGGCTTCGGCGGACCGCTACGGCACCTTGAACAACTACTGCTGCGTTTGGACTATAGCAAGTGGTATTCTGCATGGACGGCATAATTAATTATGATACATAAAAAGAATCCATGGTAGACTGCTGTACATTTAATATTAATACGTATATTATATCTTTAATAGTCTAATCTCAATTGTACACGTTAGATTCTGATAAGAGCTGTTTAGTTCCCTTCATTTAAAAAAAACACTTTGCAAACTGATCAATTTTTCGTTGTGGCGGTAAATAATAAGTCTTTTGTAAATTATTGCATATCGTTCGTCGACGAATATACATTATCATAAGATCAACCCTGTCAGGTTGACTTTATTTTTGCGACTCGATACTAATATTATCATTATCGCAAGCGACAGAAATATTACTGGTAAGTTCAAAAGCCTGCTGGACGCCTTACTCCACATTTAATCTCATCTTGCTAATCGACAATTAACTACCCTGTTTGCGTTTCTGCCCTTTGAGCACAAACTCGCCGAGTTTTAATCGATGATAGTAGGAATCAAATCGCGAGATGAGAAATAAGATAATCCAATATTTTTTACTAATAATATTAGCGCTTCTTCGAATGTTTAGTTTTTTAATTGCTACGTAATATACGAGCACGATGTAATTCTGATTGTCGTGATAACCCCAGATAACTTTTCGTGCTATGTCTGATTGATTATACATTTTATTTTGGAACTTCAAATAGTTAAAGTTGCAAATTACGCTTAAAATTAACCAAAAACCTATTACTATCATTTATTGTGATGCTTTCATTTTTAATTATCGATTTCAATCTCCATGCTTAAAAGCAAATCTGTGGCGTCCGGCAAGTTTTGAACCCTGCAATATTTCTGTTACCAGGGTTAAAAAGCACATGGTATACTCTATCCAGTATAAACATGCATCCTGCACTGTTCGGCGACCATGTCATTATCTGATATGCGCATATCGGACATGCAACCGATATGCACGGAGTACAAACTTGCGTAAAATTAATAATAATAACAAACTTATTTACAAAAGTCAACTCCATCATTTACTCGGATGCAATACTCTCGCGGATTCGTATGTTACATGCGCGCCTTTTTAATATAGAATAGGTCTATTGTCCAAGAACAAGAAGCAAACTGCCACAGCAAAACGGATACAAATCTATTTAACCAGTATTATTATACCCCATCTCTTTCGCGATTGCAAAGTAACAGTGTCGAATGACAATAAGCGGATTGGCGTTTGCGTCGACAATTAGGTGATTCAAAATATTGAATTCGCATTGTTACTATCTTGTTGATTTTTCGTTATGCACGCCGTTGGTAGAATGGCATGTAACCATTTAGCTTTGTCTACAGTCTTTTTTTTTTCTTCCTAGTCGTCACTTTATTCGTACGTAGCTTTCAAAAATTTCTGGACTCGAAACGTGTATTGCCCCGAAAAGGGTCATCATTGGTTTTATTTAAAATAGTGAAACAAACAACTTTCCAACATTTTGCACCAATAGAAAATAGCGATTGAGGAGGTGACGGAGGACAGTCTCGTGTCTCTCTCAAAACAGGTTGTCCAAATTTGAAAAGAAAAAGAGAATGAGAAATCAATCGAAGGAATGCTTGCCCATTTGACAGCATCTTTCTCCAAGAATGGCTATTTACCATACGGTTTGGTGTAATTAATTGTTACACGATAATATATGATCTATACAAAGAATACACCGAACAAATAGTGGTTTATTATTTTTAGATTACCATTTGCCCGCTTCCACCATTTCCAGTTCATTGTTTATTGTCTTGGTCCTTATTCTAAAGAAGGGAGGGGGCGGGGGGTTTCAGATGGTACCGAGTCTGTTCTGATTTCGACAGCTATATTAGTACAATTAGACTTTGAGTTAACGTTAGGGGATGAGACTATGATCTATATTAATAGCTCATTGTATAATAAAAAGTGGTATGATTAATTAATTAATATTAATTCAGTAGTTTGCCATTAATTACACGTATATGGCAATAACCCGCGACAATAACGGACAATTCTAATTCAAAAAATATACATTGGAAAACTGCATACATAATTCGCAAGCCTTTTCCGCTCTTCAACAATCGATATCACATAATGAACAGACAAAATTTTTGTTAAATTGTTTTATAAATTGCCAAATTATACAATTGGTGACTGATGAATTCAATGCATATATAAAACTGGGAAGGAGAGCTGAATTCCTTCTATTAGAGATAAGTTAGGTGTTTGCTGACAGTAGATTTCTCCCAGAATCCAAAGTAAATAAAAAAAACAAGAAAGGGTGGGAAAATGTATATAATTACAAAAAGAATTGGGCGGATGAAGAGTATATGTTAAGGGGAAAAGGTTTCTACACGAAAGGGAAAAAAAATTGAAAATCAAGATGATTAAATGAAAGGAAAGAATTGAGGTCAACTACATCAAAGTCTGCGTGCGTGTAAACCACGGCAGCTAAATCGTAATCATTTTAAAGAACTATTCATAATCTAAAAAAAGACCCCACAGAGCATGCAGCAAAGAAAAAGAAATTTATTGTACAAAAAAGAGTGCAACTGCAAATATTACGCTAAATAATTCTCAGTCAATAAACTATTCACCCTTGCATATCAACGTCACACTCGTTTACTCATCATCAGACCACAAATCGCTGAATTTTGTCACAGTAACAGGAGGCGAAGCCCTTGTTGGTGAAAATATACTATCAAGTGTCTGCTTGCTAAACATCTCGGCAGCCACATTTCCACCAACCATCACCTCTGTAACATTGCTTACGTCCCCAGTATAACTAAACCCAAACATCGAATCTTGACCAAATTGCGGAAAATCCATTACCATCGGAGTGCTATTTTGAGGAAAACTAGGACTTAGAGGCGTTGTAGCCGTCTGACTCGGAGATTTTGCATTAAGCGACGAAGAGCTCTGCTTGTTCGACAACGGTGGTGGACGTGATAATCGTCGCGACCGACCCGTTGACGGTGTACTTGGCGACAGCGTCGATGCGGTTGATGGAGTCACCGGTGACGGAGACGTCGGTGTCGATAGCGATGTTGCAGTTATTACATGGAACCGACCCGAATCGCCCTTGATTGTTGCTTGCTGACCACCTGCGTTCGGAGAGAACGGCTGCAACGATTCTGCAGGAATTATCAACGGAGTACGTGGAGGAGAATCAATTATAATCGAGTTGGGTCTGCTTAAACTATTACTCCTCCGATGGCCCTTGAGTAAAAGATCGCTTTCGATGCTCGAATTGCGGGAATGACCTTTGTGCGATTCCGAACTGGGATTTTGTTGTGGTGTGACAGTGTTGTTGAGTTTTAATGTTTTCTCAAAGTCGACTAGTTGATAGACTAGACTCATATTAGGACTGATATATGGACTCCGATCCTTGACAAATTCATAGGCTTGGTTAAGTGTCATACGATTAGTTCTCATGACATACGCAATGACTAGCGACGCTGAACGTGACACTCCACACTGACAGTGGATCAGTATGTTGCGTCCGGCCGAGCGTGCCTCGTCAATGTATGCAAATGCGAGCTCAAAGTCTGAAATCAAGTTGTCTTGATTGTGAGTCCAAAAGTATTTCTTGTACTTCATCGCCTTGAATTCGTCTGTGGCTGGAACTGTCAGCGGAACGCCTGTTCCCATTGGACCGTCTGGTGATTGCAAGTTTGCTGAGAGCGAGCTTGGTCGCGATGATGATTTTTTGATTAACGAGTTTGATCTACTACATGATGAATCACTCGACGGCAGTGGAGAGCTGGCGTGTATTGCGGGCATTATCGGAGACGCGACTGCAGTTCGATAGCTCGAATCTGATGATATAGAGGAAGATGATGATAATCCAGGTGATATTGACTGGTTCTGGAGATATTGCGAGTTCTTTGGATTGCTACTTATAATGTCTGTCATATAGGGATTTGGTACTTCCATAGCAACATTAAGAATGTATTCGATACCGAGTCTATTGAGCATTCGACGATTCATTGCGTTCAATTCAGAGCCTAAGTAAAAATGTGGTAATATACAGATCGGCTCGTCCTTGTATGGCAGTTCTTCAGCGATTGCATTCTCAGTTCTTGACATCAATACCATGGGGTCAGCAGACGAGTTGGAATGCGATTCACCATTTTTATTCTGATAGATGCAGATTGGAGTCGATGGACGTCTGTTGTGACCGTGAGCCGCTTGTTTCGTCTGTTGAGGAAGTTGAGGGGAGCTTGGAGCGGAGATGGAAGAGCGAACGGGAGGTACAACTAATTGTAAGTTCTTCATCTGCCTTCTTCCTCTGATTCCCGGAGAAACGGGAGGCTTCTTGAATGTGTCAAGTGACTGATTATTATAAGATGAATTAACTTCCAGTAAGGAAGCGGGGGATGCTGGTCTTGTTGCAGCTTTAGTACTAGGCATTTTAAAACTACTTAGTGCTGTGTTTGGCGTATTGTTCATGTTGGACGAAGTCAAAGACATCTTCTTATACAATGGAACGTCAGACGCAGTGAAGTAGGGTTCCTCGATGACTGATGCTAACATTGAAGTAGCTGTCGGCGAATCGAAGGGGTATAATCTTTTCTGATTGCTATTCATGTAAAGATAGTGAGAAGTGAGCACACCAGGTGCGTAGCCCTTATATTTCTGGAATAAGGAAGTATCTATGGTATGTTTTAGATGTTATTGATTGCGCTATTATTGAAGGAGTATGATGGCCGTTATCATTGAAGTGAATGGACAGCTTTTTGAAGTAGTATTAAGAGAAGGGAGAGAGTGAAGAGATTTGTCGTTAGAAAGTTGGGCGTTGTGTACTGAGAGATTAGTTGATCAGACCAGCTGTACCAAAGCGCTTCTATGTGTAAGATAAAAGTCTCAGAACAAAGTACGTATGTATTCTAACATCCAAACTTTTGCTAGTGAGACGCACCAGATGAGAGAAGGAAGGTGCAAAGATTTTTGCTCTGGGAGGTGGCCCGCAATATAAAAGCGGAGAAGATATATGAAACGTTAGCAAGGAAAAGATTCTTAATACGAAATAACCGACTTATGAGACAAAGGG